CCCCTCACTATAGATATATTTCTGTCCATCTGATATAACCATGATTAGTAAGTCGATCCTTCACAGGTTGTTCGTAACTAGAGCTGGGTCAATTTACCGTTTTACCCCTGAAGTTACTTCTTGTTCCTTATGTCTCACTGATCCTCTAATGAACAATTGGTTTGTGGTCCAACCAGTAAACCAAATCCCTCTCAGGCCAATGAGAGGGTGGGGCCCCTTGTTCAAGACCTGGAGTCAGTGCTTAAGGGAACTACCTTTCTTCTATCCCTAAGTGGGTAGGAGTGAATTCCGTCTTGCACCCCACATCCCCAGCCATTCACCCAGTCTTACCCCTGAAATGGGAGGCCTGTTGAGTCGGCGAACTAGAGCCACTCTCACCCATGCAAATCTAAGGATAATTCCGAATAAACAGGAGTTCATGGTTAGCTCAGGATTAAAACCGAGTTACCTAGGTTATCGAATGAAAAGAAAATCAGTCTCAACAGTAAACGACTTTATAAAGTGAGAGTGGTTTTCTTCATGGTCCGATCTTATGCAATACTCATTGCATAGGACGCCCCCACTCACATGTCTCCACATGCACAATTTAGTGATCACATTGTTTATATCATATACAAAAGTGGGCCGCATCCATAGTGTCCCCAGAATAAGGTACTCAGCCTTATCCTTATACTATAGATCATTTTGACTATATACTTGAACTTGATCCACTCTTATGTCTCTACATATAGTTCAAGTAATCATACTATAGCCAGAGTGTTCTTAGTTTATTGGATTTAGATTAATGATCGTAAAGTTCACTTTATTCAATAACAATTTTTTCTGAATAAACATCAATAATAACTTTATTGAAAATAGAATATATCTTTGTTTACAAACTATGAGTTTTAGGACATAAAACCCAACAAGTGATACCTCAAAGAAAGGATGGGTTGTATTTTAATACAACATGACAAGTTTGTGGCTTACGCATCCTACCAATTAAAAGATTACAAGTACAATTACTTGATGCATGATTTAGAGTGAGTGACATAGTTTTTGTCCTAAAGATTTGGAGGACTTAATATGAGGCAGAGCTGATAGCTAGAGTTAGTAGGGTCAACGCCTTGAGTAAGAAATTATTCAACGCTTCATCCATGATCACTAAGTAGATAGCATGGTAGTGGGAGAGATTACGGTACAATATCTGCTAACGATGGAAATGGACTAAGACAAGCGATGGGTACACAAATCAAAGGGTGAGCCCTAGGAAGTGTAAGGCCAGGCCCTTCTTCCATATCAACTTCGCCATCTCCTCCACTAACCTTCCAATCAAAGCACTGAACCAAGCAAGCCAAAGTAGTTTGAACTATGAGCAATGCAAGAGTTGTTCCAGGACAGCTTCTTCTACCACTCCCAAATGGCAGCAGATTAAAATTCTGCCCTCTCAAATCACCGCTCACACTCCCTTCTTTGCCCATAAACCTGTCTGGCTCAAACTCAAGAGGCCTTTCCCACTGATTTGGGTCTCTCCCAATGGCCCAAATGTTCACGTACAATTGGGTTTTTGCTGGAATTTCGTAGCCATTTATTGTGCAGCTTTCAGTTGATTCCCTCACAATCAATGGGCTTGAATGAAGCCTTAATGTCTCCTTTACTATTGCTTGGAGATAAGGAAGGTTGGTGATATCTGATTCCTCAACCAGTCTGCTCTTTCCTACAACTGTGTGGAGTTCTTGTCTGGCTTTCTCCATTATGTTTGGATGGTTGATTAGCTCTGCCAATGCCCATTCTGTTGTTATTGCTGATGCGTCTGTCCCTGCTGCAAATATATCCTGCAAAATTTATTGGGACTTAGTTGGATTGTCCGTAGGAGTCCTACGTCGGCTAATTAAGGGGATGATCATGGGGTTATAAGTAAGGAATACATCTTTATTGATACGAAGCCTTTTGGAGAAACCAAAAGCAAAACCCCATGAGCTTATGCTCAAAGTGGACAATATCATACTATTATGGAGGTCCGTGATTTTAACCTGGTATCAGAGTCGTATCCTTAACTTACCTATGTCAATAAAATTCTCAAATGTCAAATAAAGAAGTTGTGAGGCTCGAAGGTGTAGTCAAAAAGTGACTAAAGTGTCGAACAAAGGGTGTACTTTGTTTGAGGACTCCACAGGTCTCAGGGGAAAGGAGTCGAGCCTCAATTAAGGGGAGGTTGTTTGAGTGTACTTTGTTCGACGACTCCATAGGCTTCAGGAGAAAGGAGCCGAGCCTCAATTATGGGGAGGCTGTTCGAAGGCTCCATAGGCCTCAGGAGAAAGGAGTCGAATCTTAATTAAGGAGAGACTACTCGAGGGCTTCATAGGTCTTAGGGGAAAGGAGTCGAATCTTAATTAAGGAGAGACTATTCGAGGGCTCCATAGGTCTTAGGGGAAGATCTATGGTATACTTTATTCGAAGGGAGGATTGTTAGTGGGAGTCCCATATCGACTAACTAAGGGGATGATCATGGGTCTATAAGTAAGTGAACAATATCATACCGTTATGGAGGTCCGTGACTCTAACATCGAGAACTAAACCATAACTTTAAATCGAACTTACCAGAATAAAAGCCTTGATATTCTCTCGAGTCAATTTCACTTCCGAGTTTTCATCTCTAAACTTAAGAAGCAAAATATGAAGCAAATCCATCACTTTCTCATCACCATTTCCCTCCATTTCCATCATCTTCAAGCTCTCTTCATGCTCCATTATCAACCTCTCCATCATCTCATCAAACCTCTCACGAACTTCCCTCAACCTCTTCCCAAGCCCTTGCAAGTCCAAACCCTTACAAAACCAAATGTAATCCGCAACATTAAAAGTCCCAGTGAGCTCAGCTACATCCTTAACCAACAACCTTATCCCCTCCGCTTCTTCTTCCTCCTCCGCGCTTCGTTTCCCCAACGTCATTCTCGATATCACATTGTTGCTCGCCCTCATCAACTCTCTTCCAACATCAACATCTTTCCCCTCGACCGCTTTCGTCTGTAATGACCGTAGAAACCGCCGTGTCTCGTCTTGTCTTATCGGAGCAAGGCTGTCGAGCGTTCGGCTACCGAGGAGCTCCGACATACAAAGCTTCTTCATGAACTTCCAATAGCGTCCATAGGGAGCAAAGGAGAAGTCCGCCGAGCCGTAGGTTAGATAGTCAACTGCAGCCAAATGGGGTCGGTTTGAGAAGGACGATTCGTGTGTTTTGAGGACTTGTTTTGCCGTTTCGGCGGATGAAACTATGATGCAAGGGACGGAGCCTAGACGGAGGTGAATTAGAGGGCCATGGCGGGTCGAGAGCTTGTGGAAAGCTTTGTGGGGTAGGGGTCCTAGGAGGTGGAGATGGCCGATGATGGGAAGGGCTAAAGGGGTTGGAGGAAGGCGAGGGTTTGGCTTGGTTTTGGCAAAAATGAAGCGGATTGTGATGGTGGAAAGTAGCCATATGAGGAAGAGAATTGTGTAGCTTTGGAAATCCTCCATTGATGACTCAAATGAAGGTTGATCAGTTCAATATAGTTTTTATATGGAAGGAGACGACTTTGATGCTGTTTACATCAGCCGGCGAGAAGTATTGTTCATTGTGATTAGATCTTTTATGATTGTGTTTATATATATTGATGATGGCCAAGGCCTGCCAAAGTTTAATATAAATAATTAGACATTCAATTTGGAAGAATAATCAAATAACCATCCATGTCTAAAAAAAAATAAATTAGCATAAATCAAAATGGGACGGAAACATGGACGGAAACACTTCGCCAAACCGAAGAAGAGACAACTTTTGCCAGAGATCGCAAGAAATCCCAACGACTCACACTCTAGTCGCGACAGAATTGGACAAAAAGTAAGGAGGAAGGGATTGTTAGGAATCACGAATCTTCGCAACAGTATGATATTGTCCACTTTGAGCATAAGTTCTCATGGCTTTGTTTTGGAATTCCAAGGCCTTGTACCAACGTAGATGTATTCCTTGCCTAAGTTAATATGGGACTCCCTCCCAACAATCCTCGAGAGGGAGATCCAAGCATGAGACGATGAGGAAAATCAAGAGAGGGAAAATTAGAAAATGGGAGGAAGATCAGTGAGAGACGAGAGAGAACTAGGGAGTCAAGCCGAGCCGAGCCAAGCCGAACAGCACACCAAGCTTGAATGAAGAGAAGACGTGGTGCACCTAAAATATATATTTCTTTTTCCACTAGCGTTACATACACTCACCACTTACATAGATTCATCAAGAATCATTTGATGAATGGAGACTCTAGTCAATAAAGCTATAATGCTCCAAACACCTTCATTATTTGACTTCGATCTGGACTATATCCCTTTCAAGTTCATCCATCTATTATCCTCCCGACCATACCTCTCTGTCCCCCATTTCCTCCATGGCTCCAAATCTCAAACTCTCATGCCTCCTCTTCTCTCTCATTTTCTTCATCTCCATCGCCATTTCTGTTGCACAGCTCTGCAACCCAGCTGACAAAAAAGTCCTCCTCAACATCAAAAAAGCCTTCAACAACCCCTACGTCCTCTCCTCTTGGGATCCCAAACAGGACTGCTGTACCTGGTACTCTGTCGCCTGCCACCCGACCACCCACCGTGTCGTCTCCCTCATCATCCTCGCCGACGACAAAATCTCCGGCCAAATCCCACCGGAAGTCGGTGACCTGCCATTCTTACAAACCCTCATGCTCCACAAGCTGCCAAATCTCAACGGACCCATCCAACCCACCATAGCCAATCTCAGCCACCTCAAATCCCTCGACCTCAGCTGGAACAATCTCTCTGGCTCTCTCCCAAGCTTCCTCGGCTCCCTCAAAAATCTCACCCTCCTCAACCTTTCCTTCAATAATCTCACCGGAACAATCCCAAGTTCTCTCTCCCAGCTCCCGAATCTCGGCTCTCTCCATTTGGACAGAAACAAGTTAACAGGACAAATCCCGGACTCTTTTGGGTACTTCGAGGGAGAGATTCCTTACCTTTATCTTTCCCACAACGAACTTTCCGGGAAACTTCCAGCTTCCTTGTCTAAAATGGATTTCAATGTCATTTCTTTGTCGAGAAACAGGCTTGAAGGCGGCGCGTGGATGTTATTTGGTGCAAACAAGACGACCCAGATCGTTGATTTGTCGAGGAATCTGTTGGAGTTTAACTTGTCGGAGGTTGTGTTTCCCCGGAGCTTGACTACGCTGGATCTTAACCATAATAAGATCTTTGGGAGTATTCCGGTGGCGATGACGGAGCTGACTTTTCAGTTGAATGTCAGTTATAATAGACTGTGCGGGCAGATTCCAGTGGGCGGCCGCTTGCAGAGCTTTGATTTGAGTTCCTATTTTCATAACAAGTGTTTGTGTGGGGCGCCTCTTAGTAGCTGCAAAAGATGAAGGATGTATTTAATATTTATATACTTTGATCTATTGTCCAGTCATCGACCCCATTTATCTAACGGAAGAAAATATTTTACACTCTCTCCTCATTCCCCATTTAAGAGAGGAATTCCTCCTATGAATCACAAATCTCTACACGGAATGATATTGTCTACTTTGAATATAAATTCTCACTGTTTTTCTTTTAATTTCTCCAAAATATCTCATACTAGTCGATATGTATTTCTTACTTATAAACTCATATGATCAACCACGTAATTAGTCTATGTCAAACTCCCCCACCAACCATCCTCAACAATCCCCTCCCTGTTCGGACAAGTTCCTACAAAGTCCTAACCCTGTAAATAAAATCAACCTCTCTAATCACGTGGTTTCTCTTTCACCATTTGAACCTGCTGCTACTGCTCCTCAAAACCTGTCCATGATGAGCATTATTTGGTTATTTTTACCTTCCAAAAGAGAACAAATCCCAGAAGACGTCTAAAGTAACCCTTCTTAAAAGTTGATATGGGAGATGTAATGAACCAAACTCTACCCAATTCACAGCAGTTAATAAAAAATGTGCATTTTTGAAAGGCAAAAATTCAAGTCTAGAGTTGGTGAATAATTCTTCTATACATCATTTCCACCGCCCAAAACAGATGGCCTACTTTCACTATCTATATTTGCAGTAAACAGACTTAAGGGCAGACGACCCTACAACAACAAAACAACCTATTATGGTTCTAGCAAATGAAAAGGATTCATTTAACAGGAAAGTAAGATAATAGTCCTCTTGGGATCTCATCAGAAGATGAGGATCTCTCCTTCTCCCTTTATCCCTCTGGTATCATATCATCCAGCGCTCTTTACCGAGTAATCATCAGCAGATGATTGATCTGAGTTCTGAATGAATTTGATCAACATGATGATGATCTGGTTCTCCCCAATTCTGGGAGTGACTGACTGTGTTGAACTGAATCAACGAAATGACATCAAAGTGCGAACTCTTTTTTCCCTCTCGGCTCTCTTTGCACTCGGTGTCTTTCTCAATTTCTGCAACTCCTCCCTCACTACTTTCTCCACTTTGTCGATGGAGTTCAAGAGTTTCTTCTGTGGGGTGAGCATCTCGGATTCTTCCACATTCTCATTTGCAATTCCGCGAAGAATCTTGTTAACTTTGCCTACGGTTGGTTTGGGGGTGACCAGAGAAACGTCTGGCTCTTGATGACCACCTGACACAGATGCGCTAAACTCTAAAGCTCTTTCGTCCGAGGGAGCTGGACTATTATCACTTCCTTGGCCTTCGTTTTCTCTCAACCGAGCTCGTGTTCTTTCAATTGCCTGATTTAAGAATATGATTCTCCCCAAGTTAAGAACACTATTGGAAGATGCTTATAAATGGCATAACCCCAGTTGACCTCGCATCAAATGGAAAACTAGGAAAGGAGATATCTAGGAAGAACACAGATGCTATTGGATGACATGGAGGAGTAACTAAATACCCAGAAAAAATCAAAATAAGTTGAACACATGAAACAGGAATGTGAAGAATTAGCCCAAAAACTTGAGTCCATATGCAATTTTATAAAGAGAATTCACAATGACATTGCTCAATAAAGACTTCTAATAGAAGTTCTCATCAAATAAAATCCTTGAAAACGTGAAAAATGTTGAAATTTCTCAAATTGACAGCAAAAATATCAGGGAACCAACTTCAAAAGTAGCAAAGATTTGAGATGAATGATGCATAGACACAATCACGTGACATAGATAAGTCAATAATGTACATGTACCTAGAGGCTTGAAAATGTAAAATATTTGTCACAATCAAAATTAATTAATTTTTTTGTTCATTAATAACAACATAAATATATGAACACATCGAAAACGTTAGTACAAGTGTCTATTAATTCAAACGCGTTAGAAGCGTTGAAAACATGTCCCACAAGTAATGATATTATCTTGTGCTAATATGCACTGCAATCAGCCGAAGCATGGTGAGCCCACCAAAAAGTAGTTCAAATAATAGGTTAAAACAAAGCCTAGAAAACAATTTGAATAAAAATAAAATAATAAAGAAACAAACTAACAAGGAGAAGAATTACGTGACAAACTAACAAGTAAATGGTTGACAGGATACCATTATCAAGACTGTTGATGTTACATAAGGAATCATTGAGCATGGACGTTACAAAACAAAGAGAATCTTCTTTTTAGACAAACAAGTCGGTAGTCAATCTGATTAAGAACTGGAAATATATTAATTAATTAACTTAAAGGGTAAGGAAAGTAATCCGATCTCAGGATTCACAAAAATGGATTGGACATATGAAATTAACATTTCCGATTAAAAGTCAGCTCAACTCAAATCAAATCAAATCCTACCAACTGAAAAACAGAAACAAGATCACAACTACAGAAAAAAAAAATCAAGAGGGTTTCCGAAAGTTCAAGCAACTTCAAATTAGAATGAATCTAAACAAACAAGCATACAGTATTAGAGAACAGATATCTCAAGATATTGGTGTATATGAATACCAGAGAGAGAGAGATGCAATGACAATGAGTGAATTTAACAGAACTCATATGAATCAAATTCACCAGTTCAAATGCAATAAGTAGAGAAATTTCAATAGATGCTATGTGCAGATACTCCACAAATTGAATGCAGAACACAACGAACACTTGAAAGATCTAGCAGAGCAGAATCAAAATAAGAGGAGAGTTAGTCATTTACCCTCACAACTGCAGTAATGTCGCGGAGTGGAGTTCTTGGATACCAAATCGGCAAAACACTATGCCTCACCCGGGATCTACTCCGTCTGGAACTCCCAGCCGCCGTATTCTCGCGGCTCAAAACTGGAGATCTGTAAAGAAATCTATTACGTCCAATTCCACCAGAAATGGGAGAACCAAAACTGCGTCTCGGAATCGCACCACCACCACCACCACCTCCAGGCCCGAGATTCGTAGGTCTTTGTTGAGCTGTAGTCGTCGTTGTGGCGCGTGCGATCGGAGTCCCGATCAAAGTAGTACTCATTTCTTGCTCGTCCAATATACCGCCTTCTGATCTCCGACGAGCAAAGACCTCGGCATAGTCCACTTGCCTCTCCAATCTATCCCTTGATTCCGACATTATGGAACTTCAGAAGAAACAAGAAAACTATCATTTCAAAAGAAAAACAGAAGATTCTTACAGTAACAAGAACCAGATTCTTCGAGTTAAAACCTACATTTCATTTCTAAAATCTGCACAGAGAGATGAGAAAAAGGAAGAAGGAGATGAATCATACCGTGAGATTCCAGTGGGCTTCAATGGAGTTTATTTGGTTTGACCAAAATACAAGAAACAAAGAAAAAAATGGCGGTGGATTGGTGGGAGGCGCTCTCTGAGACGCGCAGTTGAAAAATGAGAGGGAAGAAGATGGAGGTTGTTTGAGAGAAAGGCGAAATTTTGGGCGATTTTCAAATGTGAAAATTTGGGCGCTACTTAAACCCATTTTTCAATTTTCTGATTTGAATTTCAAATTTGTTGCAAGAGCGGGATCTTCATTTTTGAAACCCAATTCTTTTTTAGCTCGCTGTGAAATGACTATATAGTCCTTATGTTTTAAATCCCATTGTGTTGTGCTTACACGTGTGCAAAATACTACATTAATAAAAAAATATCTGACCTTAATATTTTTGTCTAAAAGGTCAAAACTACCCTTAACTTTTTAGAAAAGTTCAAAAATACCCTTATTATTAATTTTGTTTTTTACTATATTCTTCAAAAACTTCACTTTTTTTAAACTTTAAAAACACTTTTAAACTTTTAAAAAAAAATTAAAAATATAAATAAACTATTTTACATATAAACATGTTTTTATTAAAAAAATAAAATTTTTAATCAATGACTATAATAACTTGAAGCAATTCGATTCAATAGTCTGTAACATTACATAAAAAGTCCCTTACATAACGGCAGACATGGCAGGGGTCAACCCTACTAGACCCTAAACCTAAAATCACTTAAGCATCACGAGTTCTTTTAACCCCATTTCATCCTCTGGTTATCTTCTTTTGCATCTACAAGGCGACATGATCTAGTGTTCATGTTTAAATGAGATCTAAAATAGTTCAATTTTCATTTTTAAGGAGGTTTGGATGCTTGGTACTTTTCTACACACAGCTTAGAAGTTCTTGTACGTGATCTATTGCTCTTTTGCAGTTGGATGTATACAACGTACCGAGTGGACTAAATAGTTATATGGATGTTGGGTGAGAAACTTGAAGTTCTTCTACGTGATAGTGGTGAAGTAACTTATAGAAACAATGTGAAAATAGGAGAATAAGACGATGGTTAAGCTTCTCGAACTCTTCCAAGGATTATGAGACTCGAACTAGTAACTAGGGAGGTTTGATAAATGAAACTTTCGGGAACAAAACTTCTTTTAAGATTTGGTTCATACACAACACTGAGTGAAAGAGTGATACACAAATGAATTAAGATCATATCTGAATAAGAGACGACCATTGGGTTGAAAAAAGTTCAAAAGAATTATAGAAGTAGGTAACGTGACCATGTCGTAAGGTATACAAGAGACATCAAATGTCGAATTCAGATTCCAAATCCTGATTTGAACCATATAGACAAATAGGTAACATAACCATGTCGCAGGGTGCAGGGTATATAGGAGACATCAAATGTTGAATCTAAATTCGAACTCCTGATTCAAACCCTAGACAAGTAGGTAACATGACTATGTCGTAGGGTATATAGGAGAATACCGGAGAGTTCCAAATCCTAAATCGAACCCTAATCCTGGGACGTTACAAAATTAATTTGTTAAAAGAGAGGGAGAGAGAGATAAAGAGATGATAAGCTTCACTAATCCTTCATCCATGGTATAAAGCCAGTTCCTCTACAAAATACAAATACATGAATCTTTTTTTCTTAGTATAAATCAAAAGTGGAATAGAAAAACAATGTCCCAACTGAAATGATGATGGAATTATATGGAAACTCATGAGGCAAAGCAGCACCCTTTTCTCCCACCAGCCTGGTCCTGTCCAGGAACAACTATGTTTGTCCCTTTAAACAGCGCTGGATTCACGCCAATATCTATCGATTCCCCAGCTGCAAGACTCTTCTTGCTGATTATCCTATAAATCTCTGTTAGAATTCTGAAGAACGCAGTTTCGA